GCCTTACCTCGAAAAATACCACAAACTTTCTGGCATAATAAAAAACATTATGTACAAAAAGACAATTCATCTTTTGTACATGGAAGTCAATGATTCCACACATTTGGTGTCAAATTGGATGGCTTTAAGTGAGTCATGAAGTTTGATATTTTTTTTTTTTTGAAAATTGGTGTCTATTCAATGGCACTCTTACAACCGGCCATTTTGAAATTTAAGGAACAAAAATGATTGTGACCTTCATATACAAAAGATAAAAGAAAAAGTTTACGTAGAGTCGAGGATCTAAACAATCAAATTAGAGCCTACCTCAAAAATTCCACTAGAAGATATTGTTTTGATGCCCAAATATCCTCAAATTAATAATCTAGACATCAAGAAGCATGGACACGAGAAAAATAAATAAAAATTCTAAGTTTTGGAAATGGTGCATCTTGTCATGTATTTTTTACCGTCAATTTTCAAGATTTTTCAAGTTTTCATAGATCTGCTCGATCTGCACTATTTTTAAAACTTTAAATTTTATAATTAGATATAAAAATATATTTTAAGGCTATCACAAAGATTTTCAGTATTGAAACCACATTTTTCAACACTATTTGAAGGTATGCTCTACTTTGATTGTTTAGAGCCTTGGCTAGATACAAACTACACCTTTTTACCTTTTCCAATATAGCCCAATTATCATCATTATAATAATTTCTCAATTAATTGGAGTTAGTAACTACAGCTAGATCTATATCATTTTTTGAGATTCCTTACAGATAATCAAATTTGTACCATTTTGGAGCTACAAAACATGGATCTATAGATAAACAGTAGTTTCACTAATTTAAAATGTACTTTACATTCTAAATCCATAAAAAACCTAGGTCGGCTTGGGAATCCTTGAGGTGGTGGACTTGTTCAAACATACACAGTATTACCCTATGGAGGTGCCAATATAATATTGGGCACATATTTGCTCCGAAGTCTAAGTCCATAAGCCCAAACCTCAATGTCGGTCCAATTTTGACTGAATTTTTTCTTCTATTCCTATTTGTTGTTAACGTAGAAAACCAATGGCAGTTGCTTAATTTCTCATTTGAATTTGGGCCCAATTTCAACATTTAAATATTGATGAACGTCGCTATTACAATGACTCCCTTGGATTTTAAGTTTTGAAAACGTTGTAGTTTGTATAAGGCTGAGGCCCTAAACAATCAAAGTAAGACGCACCCATAAATAGTGTTGAAAGATGTTGTTTCAATATTAAAAATCTTAGTGATGGCCTAAAAATTTATTTTCATCTTTAATTAATAATTTTGACACTTATAAAATAGTGTAGATCGAGTAGATCTATGAACACTTGAAAATCTTGAAAATTGACAATCTGAAAATGTATTACATGATATGTTATTTCTAAGACTTGAAATCCATTTTTTCTAATGTCTATGCATTTTCAGGTTGAGATGATCAATTTAAAGATTTTTTGACATCGAAACAACTGCTTCTAGTGAATTTTTTCAGGTGGACCTTAATTTGATTGTTTGAGGCCCCACTTTTCCTTAGATAAACTTTTTCCCTTCCAAAAATGCGCCTTACAAATCAAGTTTAGTTGCTCTAAAAAAAAGAAACATCTTCCTATTGCCCATTTACACAAGCAACCCTTTCCCATTCGTGACAGTGCCGAACTTCCGTTCAGCACGTCAAAGTGAACATAAATAAATAATAATAATAATAATAAAGAAAAAAAAAAAACAACCTTGAGATTTAAGGAGACAAATCACAAAGTAACCAACCTTGATATTTTCCCTTGCATGCTTTGTTTTCCTATGAAAGAACGAAGGAGAGAGGCTAGTGTAGATATCCTTTATTAGTTAAAATTGATGGAGTATGGATGCGACTAAACTTGAGATCAGAGAAGAATGCCGTGAGGTTGGTGATCGCAGAGTTAAAAGAGATTTTTTTTTTCTTGTTGAGTATTTCTCTCTCTGGCTTCCCATTTTTATAGGGAAAAGAAAGACTAACAATTATATGTCTCCAACGGGTCCCTAGAAAAATGTCTTGCCTGATGTCAGGGATTTCATTCAACGCATCCATGTGAACGTTGGGTCACCGATTTCATCCAACATATCCAAATGAACATCGGAGATAATTATGGATAATGAGATTCCTCCAAGCCCACAATTGTAGGCTAAATCACATAAGGCCTCATAGCCATACATGTTAACATCCTTTTCATTTTGAGAAATTTATCAAATTATTTATGAGATATGAACAATTCAACATTTCAGACAAATTTTTTGTTTAATTTTATCCAATCTTTTGGTTTAATTTTATTTTGGGTTGGTATTGCGTCAGATTGAACGATCCTCATCGAAGGGCCAGAAATCAATTTTTTTTTTTATTTTTAAAATTTTATTTAACAATAATATTAATATGAAATTTGGGTTTTCAACTATTTTTAATTAGAATTAAATAAAAATACAATAGAAAATGAATTTTCAATAAAAAATATTGATCAAATTAAATTTTTAGGTATTTTGGTCATTTTATTTTAATTATTTATTAATCATTTTTATTTAGTCCTCTTTATAAACGTAAACCTACACCTAAAAATCCAGATAAATATTTTATTTAAATAAAAAATAAAACATGAAATTATTTTTGGCCATTGGATTTGACCTTGATAAAACTCAACCACTTGATTGGTGCTTTTATACCCCTCGTAGGACTGGCTGGACAGTTCATTATTTTAGTCAAAATCGTTTTCGGGGTTGGCCACAAGGAAACTATGTCTTTTAAGAAGGAAAATTGTTTCATGTGGGCTGGACCGCATTTCTACATGTGCGGTGCAAAAAGTGTAAAACATCTATTTTAAAGATGGATGCAAGTAGGTGTTCCATTTAAAAACAATGGAAACTAACGGTCCAAATGTTTTCTTGCTAGAATTATTATTGTAAGTTTAAAATTATTTATTTATTTATTCATATTCATGATCTCCATGTTAGATATTACATGTCTTTAAAAATTAAGTCTTAAAATCCATCTCAAAAATAGATTTATTAAGAGGCCTGCATTTGTACATATGTGGGCTTGGCCGCATAGAAACTGAGTCCTTTAAAAAGGAAAATTGTTTCATATGGGATCGACCACATTTCTACATATGCGATTCATAAAGTGCAAAGCATCGATCTTAAGATGGATGCAAGTAGGTGTTCTATCTAAAAATAATGGGAACCAACAGTCTGAATGTTTTCTTACTATAATTATTATTTTAAGTTTTTAAAATTTATTTATTTTTTCATATTCATAATATCCATGACTGAGGTTACATGTCCTTAAAAACTAAGTCTTAAAATCCATCTCAAAAATAAATGTATCAAGAGGACCATATTTTCACGTATGCAGGCATGGCCGTAAAGAAACCGGGTCCATTTAAGAATCCAAATGAAAAAAATTGCGCCAAAAACGATTTCGACTAAAATAATGAAATGTCGAGCCAGTCCTACGAGGGGTATAATTGTGACAGTCAAATTTTTGGGGGTACTTTCGGCATTTTAAAAAGTCGCGGTCCTCGTGTTGCCAAGGCGTTAGAAAACGCGGGGCCGTCAATTACGAGGGCAAAGAAGGATCGGACCAGTTGGACGGTCACCGTTAACTAACGATTCTTGAGGATTTATTCTTGAGGATTTATAAAGGGTGGCAGCATCACATGGAGAGATCCCCCGCGTGCCCCAAGTTGCTGACTCTTAGGACGGACTCATATGTACACATGCGTCCCCTCTTAAAAATTTATTTTTGAGACTGATTTTGGACCTA